TTCTTTACTTAAAATTTCTGTCTCGATTTCAGTGCTTTATTTATAAATGGAATTGATAAAATATGTAACTTAGATATGTTTTATTTTTCACTATAAATCGCTGAAAGTTTTAATTTCAGAAATGGGTTTATTTTTTAGATCACTTCCTTACTATTCGTCTTCAAAAAAAAAAAAAAAACTTTTATACAAGATCATATTTTTCTATAACGTCTATATATATAAAGTTGCAATAATGTCGTGTACTTCTTTTCTGTTTTGATGCGACTGAAAGACTAATCAAGACATTAAAAACTGGAGAAGTATGGTATTTACAACAGAGTGTAGAAGCGATTTTCAACATAGTAACGGAAAGTGTGTGGTTGAGAGAAAGAAAGCTTTGAAAAAGTGGCATAGTTAGAGCGTAATAACTAGAAAGATACGTGCAATTCATGCTTGCCTCGCAAGGAAATTAGAATAGAATATTTAAGTGGATGAATAATGTGTCTATCTATACGGAGAAACAGGATGATTAAGAAAATATATTCTTTAACTTGTTTCATTGAAAAAATCGACCTTAACTAACGTCTGGCTGCAACTACAAAACTATCTAAATCAACTTGAAGACAGGCTCACCAAAAGGCGAATCGCAATTAATACCCAAAAATCTAAGCGTTATTAGAAAGCAGCTTTAAAAAAAGACCTCCCAAACCATCATTTCGAAGAAAGAGATGGAAACGAGCAAATCCTTGGATAATACTTGACAATAAACACTTTTCGCCAGCACTAACGGCAACAAATAAAACCATTACCCAGGGTCAATATGCGCCCTTTCTAGGAAAAGAAGCATCTTCTTTAGAAACAAATCATTCTTTATAACCAAGTTTTAAGACCTGCATTACGCTACGCCATGTGAAATCTGGGGTCATGCCGCAAAGACAAATTTAAAACAACTCCAAGTCATCTAATATAAAACTTTAAAATCACTAACGCACCCTGGTTCCTTCCGAATGTAAATATTCACGACGACCTAAAAGTCAAGCCCATTAACGATTATATAATAGAAACCGCAGCTAACTTCTTCAATAAAGTCAGAAACCACAATAATCATCTAATTGCATCTTCAAGAAATCGCCCCTCCAATTCTAAACACAAATACCCAGCGGATATTCTAACAGAGTAACAAAGAACCCCTCAGCAACCAGCAGAAGCGCTTAGCTACTAGCAGGACTTTTTTTTCCTGGCTATCAGGGTCATTAAACCGAGCGCCCGCGCTAACAGAGTCAACCGGGTTATCACCCCCTCCACTCCCGCCATATGATCGGCGAAACAGCAGTTATACTTTCTTGCCACTGAAACCAGTCGAACGGCCCCAAGGTTCTTTAATATACTCTCCTTTCCAGATGCGCCCATCAGATGTAAAGAAAGCGAAAGCGCTGCTTTTGGATGCTTCATTTTAAATGACGATGTTCGAACGAAGATTTAGCGTCACAAGACCAGTAGAAGCTCGTTGGTCCATTTTCGAAACCCCTCCCTCAGTGGCTAGGATTCCGAGGATGAACGCCGAGGAGGTAGGACGTGCGTCTGACGCGCTCCCGCCAACACAGCCGATTTCTGTATGTTTTAGCGATAATAATGAGAATAATATGAATGGTATATCGAATCTTGAGAGTGATGTGAATGTGAACATTGTGGATACTTGTGCGGACACTTGACCTGTGCAAATGGATAATAAAACAAAAGCTGATTGTGACTTTCTACAAGCTGAAACAGCAGTATGAAGAAATACAACGGCAAAAGAGATTCATGATGCTATCTTCAACGCCGCTGGACTTTATGAGCAACTTGACCAATCGGGTAAAATATTATTTTTCAAAATTAACGAAATTGCTACCCTTGACGTACAAATTTTCCACCTTCCCCGACCAGGTATGACTATGAAAATGATCGAGCAGGAGAAGCAAGATAAAATTAACGAAGCTAAAGAGAAAGAAGAAACTAAATAAAGCTATTAGCGTAGGCAAGCCCAAATTAGCGCGTAAGCCTAAAGGGCAAAGTATCGATGAGGATGATTTCATTACCCCCGCTTCTCGTAAGCAAGGTAAACCCGTCGTAAATTCTGAAAGTGATTATTCTGATGTTGAAATTGTATGTATTGAATCTAATGTGAATTCTAATGTTAAAGTCAATAAGAGTAGTAAATCAAGTGCAAATGCTAGTGAAAATGTAATATTAAACGAAATTAGCAAAGAAAATAATTCTGATAATGCTTCAAAATTCAATATGGCCGCCAAAATGGCGCGCAGTAGCAACATTTCGACCGAAAGGTCAGAGGTTACGATGGTCACCAAGAAAATGTCAAAGGTGAACCTTACAAAAAACAAGTATGAAGCTATCAAAGAGTCTTTGTCAGGCTCGAAGAAAGAGCAGCGTACTCCCCCTTCGTTTCTAACACCCTTGGCTGTCAGGAGGTAGAAAGAGGAGAAACAAGTTCTAGCGAGCATGTGAGAAGAGTCCCCCCCCTCCGCAGCAACCTTCTATTCCAGCAATTCACGTTAAATAGAGCAAGCAGTGGAAGACGTAATTAAATTTTTTGCGTGAGATTGCCCCCAATATTCAGAGCAAGCTCACAGTGCATCGGTGCTTTCGGCTTACTCAACCACGTTCCAAACATCCAATGCCTCTTGTTTATTTACAAGTACTCCCCACCCTTCACGACCATCTTTTGCTTCCATACATGTGGGGCACAGAGGTCAGCATGAGCGTTATCGCGGCCGCAAGGGCCTACTCAATGCTTTCGGGTGTCAGGTTTTTCCACTCTTCGGAAGTTACATCTTACAATCCGTTTGTGGATGCTCTGGGCCACATGGGCTTCTGAATGTACCAGACCCTGGGTATTCCCGTCTGCTGCACGCGGAGGAGTCAGGTCCAATTTTAGATCTTGTCTGTTCCAGGATCACGGATCGTGGTAACAAATCACGCCTAGAAATAGGGCCGCGCCTCGGCAGCTCCATCCTTCCAAACAGCAAAAGCCGAACCCCAGACATCCGAATTCTCGCCCCAATGGTGCTGGTTATCGCGGCAATAGGGATGCGACAAGGAGCAGTTAATTCCAGACATCCAACACTGCGGTTACTGCAAAAAGTAAAGCTGTAACCCGCAGTCCTTCAGAGGAGTGCTCTGCTGTGATTCGACGGACAATATTTCTCCCCATTAAATGCTGATTGCATCTCCCGCGACCCAGCGGTAAACAACATATTCTCTTGCTTCAAAAGGGCAGGCTGACCTTAATGGAGCATTCTGATATAGGAAAGTTATATGAACTTCAGATGATTCGGCTAAACTTCGGCCAGTCTCCTTTATATTGCAGAATTACAATATATGTACTGTTACTGACTTCGGCTGAACACTCCACGGACACACTTCGTGTAGTGGAATTCATTCACAAGGGCTTTCGTAAACGAGAGAAAAACTGGAATGTCTATCTGACATTGCCAAGGCCTTGACAGACTTGGCATTACGGGTATTTACAAGTTCATGCGGCTTGGTTTTTCGGCACAACTTATTAAAACTCAACTCGTACTTGACGGGTCAGGGGCGAGTTCGCCGAATACAACTCCCCCCCGATCTTGCTGGGGTTACAAGAAAGTTTGCTAGGACCTCAAATGTCAAACATCTGCGCAAATGACATACTAAGTCACCTAATGTCGATCTAGCTTTATATGCGGAGACACAGCCATCGTGAACCAACATTCCAACACCTCCACGGAATTTCGCGGGAGAATATTTCAAGCCTAGAGTTCTGGCTCGGACTGTGAAGATCAAATTAATGTCGCTAAATGTGCTGCCACTTTATTTATTTGAAGTACTTTCCCAAATTTACCTAACTTGCAATTCTTTGGAGAACCAATGCCCTGGGTTCCTACCTATAGGTATCTAGGAGTGATACTTGAATTAAAATTAACTTGGCTACCTCACATTCAAAAAACAATTTCTAATGCGAAGGTTGTCAAAACCCAATTACTGCCCTTTTTCACTGGAAATAGTGACCTGTCCACGAAAAACAGGATATTGCTCTATAAATCAATGATAAGGCGAATTCTGTCATATGCTAGTCCGGTATGGGGCGCAGCAGCAAGTACTAACAGGAAACATATCCAAATTTTTCAGAACATTATGCTATGGCAAATTTATAAAACTCCTTGGTTTGTTACGAACGAGGACATTCATAATGCAGCCAAAATTCTACCCACAAATCGCTTTATACAGCGACTTTTGGCTAACTCTTTGCAAAAGATTCCTTCGATCGGAAACCCGGTACTCCACAGCCTCCCTGTTTATCATCCGGGAATCTCATTGTCAAAAAAGGGTCCCAGAGCTATTCTGGAGAACGTGTATAATGCGCTTCCTTTTCCCAAGAGGCGTTGCTATTGATACGAGGCGCCTCGAAGGTTTCAATACACTCGTTTGCTAGCCCTCCTTCGCCTGAGTGAATTCGCTGATCTTTCAGCTTCCCTCAGGGTCACTCTCTCTTTGTCCCGTAATTTGGCAATCTAACTTACTTCAACCGTAAGCGGTTGTTATCAGGCTCTAAGCACATCTTTGTTCCCTTCTTAAAAGGGTTCTAGTATAGGATACTTAATTAAATTTAAATTTTAAGAGAATTTAATGCTTTTTCATTGTTATCTAACACTAAAGTTAATGCAATCTATTATATTATAAAAGTATCTCCTAGAGATTGCTGCCGTGTCTCTTAATTAAAAAGGCAACGAGATATCTAGTTGCTTGTTCAACTCGCTACGATTCCCGCTTTTCCCCCCGCAGACCCGAAGCTCTGCGACGTGACGTTTTCGCAAGGTTTCGCTTCTGTTAACACCACATGACCATTGATGCTTTAAAAATTCATGATTACCCTCCAAATGATTGGGCCTTATTCGACAAATACAAATTAAGTCCTTCAGTGTTTTTTTACCTTTTTTCACTGTGGAAGTCAGGTACTCTTTTTGTTAAAATAACATTTTGGCACTAAATTTACCTCTTTGCGGAACCCTCTTTTTGGCGATAAAGATAATTCTTTGACGATGTGGGGAATAAAGGCTACATGCCTAAGAGTCCCGTAATAGAACCCTTCCTTGGTCCTTGGTCCTCAGTGGCTACGCTGATGTACACTGGTGAAATATGCATCCCGTTTTTTCGACATGCCAACATTGTCAGTTTCATCATCAGGCAAAAAGACGAAACAGCAAAGTGGACTTTTCAAATTTGTCTATTTGTTTGAATTGTATACAAACATGAGAAGAGAAAATGATTGTAACAGCTTTAAAGTACATTAAAAATTACTAATATCAAAATATTTGTTTGATTTTGCCTATATTATACTTTCTGTAGTTTAACGTATTTACTTTTTTTTCCAATGATTTTTCATTTTTTAATTTTTATATCGTCTTTGCTTTTATTAGCAAAATATGGTTTTTGTGATTCAGATTCTTGCTATGTAGAGGGAAGTAGTATAGAATGCGATTCTGCACATTCGAAGCCGGTAATAACAAAACATCGGAATAAAAGGTAATGCTTTGTTATATTTTATTGGCAATAAAGCTATATTTTGTGGCCCTGTGTAAAGGCAAAGAATATGTATAGACATTCTTTGGTAAAGGCCATCGCTGGCCTGTGTTCAGGATATCTTGTCAGAAGTCATTAACCATACGTTAAATTAAAGATTCTGTTTCTTTGTATAGCATGAAGGAGATCAGACCCTTTAAAAAACTGCCCATGGATTCAGCTATTAGTATTTCTGGTAATAGATGCATTTCCCAGTAAAGCCTTACTTTATTTAAGTGTGAAACATGGGGATAAATTAGTTTTACCATTTTATTTATTTTTTGAACTCTCTTCATGTCAATGGTTGCACTACTTCACATAGTCTCTTTGCCTCATTGTTCCAATGTATTATTCTTTTATAATATAACTTCTGAAAACAAATGGTAATTTTAGTAAAATTTTAGAACTGTAGATGTGTCTTATCTAAATAAATAAAACCAACTAATTTCTATCTGACACACTAAGCAATTTAAAATCTTATGATTATGTGAATGGAGTTCCTGAATAATTTTATACTCATGTTTTTTTCATCTAGCACATTATATTAGGATAAAATGATATAATATTTTTTTAATATAAATTTAAAATTATATAAATATTTCTTTGAAAAATATTTAGAAACATAGTAATACTCATGTATCTGCATGTAATTTGTCCTGAAATATACTCCAGATAATAATGATCGTTACATGTAGTAAGATATTCATGTAGTTCCCATGCTTTCATGTAGTTTATGGTTTTCCGTATAAATAGAATATGGCAGCGACACGGATTGCCTGTTTTTTGTCATTGTGCGTTACTTCATGAATAATTTTCAAAGCGTTGCATATAATCAGAAAGTGCTAAAATTTCTATTTACAGAAGCTGTAATAAAATGTTGCTAACGAGAGTAAGGAGATTACTATAAGCAGTATAAAAGGAAATTAAATGAGAAAGTATGTGTAAGTGTGGGAAGGAAGAAGTCAGTCTCCAGTTGACATTTTTATAGCTGTCCAGAGGAAAGGGTGAGCTGAGAAAAGTGTGATTTTGAGAAGTGAGCTGTAACTTGAGAATGCATATGAGATTATAAAATAGTTATTTTCAATTTCTATTTTTATCCCATTATTATGTTTATCATGAGAATATAGTATTTAGCTGTTAAAAGTATAGTTTAGGGTACCCCTTTGCGATTTTTGGCGGTACATGGATACCGATTGTCAATCTTGACTCGTTATTTTGGTGCGAAGCGGCAATTTTTCCGCCAAAATCGCTGCTACACAAAGCAAGAACAGACAAACAATTGCAAAAATTTCCATTGCACACTTCCTTTGTCAGGTACACTCGATATATTTCACTTAAAAAGTCAAGGAGCACCACCTCTACAAATAGGCAAACAAAAATACATAATCTCAATGAAGACATTTAAACTAACAATAAAATAACATTAAAAAGGAAAAACATGTTATACATTTAAGTACTACCAAAACCAATATTCACTTACCTAATTTCAAGTCGCTCGTACACTCAGCCAGTCAAAATCAAATATCAATCATCTAAATGATTTTTCCAGGTATCTTTCTGATGCATGCTTCAATAGTGACCATCTGAACTTTCTTCCTCAAACCCATTCAAATCCACTAAACGGTTTTTCGTACGACTAGACGCATACCTTCCTACATACGGAACAATGGCTACTAAATAAACTCATTTACACACCAGCATTAAAGCTCTTTCCCTTCGTTCAAATCGTACAGAATTTGAATTACAAATTAAGTTACTACTTGGCATCTACAGTTAAGAATCAAACCAAACACACACACACACACACACACAAAAAAAAAAAAAAAAAACGCTTATAAAACATCCCTGATTCGGAATTCCGAATATGTGCTGATTACATCACAATAGGGTTCCTACATTCAATACTCAGGTACTATAAATGAAACAACAATTGGAGATAATGAACACAACTTCGCCATAATACAAGGGGTACCTTAAAGTCTACTCTACCCTATTTAGCTTTTTTCAAAGGCTGTTTGCTACTTGATGCCATTGTTAAATCTCAAAGTGCCATTTTTCCTACATTATGAACTATATATGAGGGGGTATGACTATATTTATATAAATATTTGTGAAACATTTCTTTGTTAAATGCTGTCTTAACACATAATTATGTATATATGTATTATCGCACCAACCTTAAAAGATGGCTACCATCGAACCAGCAGAATTGTTTGGGATTCCATGAAAGTTGTACCATTCGTTCTTGCAGGACTCTGAGCCAAACTTCTCTTTGCAATTCGTATAATAATATGTTCATCAGTCTCTCTGAACAATCCACCACATAGCCACTGCTGTGGAAGTTTTTGACCCACTTCGTAAAAAGGCTTTTGTCAATTTTTACTATTTTGCTAGGCTTTCTAATTTTACTAGAAGCTCTGTTTAGAATGACACTATAAGTACAAACTTCCCTCATTGTGTATGTATTATTCTTTTGTTGACTATATCTAGTTGTTGTGTTTCAAATTCAACAGATGTTAATTTGTCAAGCTGTAAATGAAGCTAAGTGCATCATATATGTGATTTTAAAGCTCTCAAAATCTTTTTTTTTTTTTTTTCAAAATGCAAGGAAAAGTATGGCAACCACATAGTAACTTATGTAATATAATCCATATATTAATATATAATTTATGAAACAAGGAATTCTGTCTTGACATAAGAACAAAAGCTATCTTATCAAAAATCACTTGGGGTTGCATCAAATAAAAGTGAAGATGTTATATCTTGTAATTTCATGCTTATCCATAATTGGTGCTTAATCAGACTGCTTTGCAAAAGTTTCACAATCATTGGGGGAATATGTAAGTATATATAATTAAAAAAATAAATGAAAAACTTAATACTGCAGTATTTTGTTTGCAAGAATTAAACGAAATCGGAAAAAAAGAAAGTATTCAGATCTTAAAACCAGTTAAGTAAATTTTATAGTTTTTATTTTTTTAAATGTCATTTTTTTATGGTTTGAAATTAAATTATATATATTGTTATATCTTTTTTAAACAATTTTATTTTGCTTTATTGGTGCATTCGTTTTTGAAAGGTATCTCCTGTATGAAGTGAATCCTGGTGAAGGATTTAATCTCAGAAGAGATGTTTATATGCGAATGGCTGTGCTGGTGAAAAGATTAAATGAAGAAGATTTGTTGAACACATGGGTACTAGTTCTTCCACCATGGGGGCCTTTATACCACTGGAAGACAAAAGATATTGGCTTCCAGGAACAAATAAAATGGTCAAATTTCTTTGACATTCCCAGTCTTGCCAAATATGTGCCTGTAATGGAACTAGATGACTTCTTGGATGGTATTTATTTACATTATAATTGACTGAAGCAATATATTAATTTCATAGATTTGAGATTATAATTTAATCTGCATTTTATGTATTTTGAAGGTTTGTAGTACATTTTGCTAACTAGGATAGTTGTATTTTTCACAAATTTTAAATGTCTATATGCCAACTTTTTTCATATCAGCTTATTCTAGGATTCATCTTATAAATGGGTTTTTATGCTTGTCCTTTTTTTTTCCTCTTCTTTGTATTTTGCTTTATTTATTTCTCCCAGACTCTCTTTGAATATATGTCAATAATTCACCAATCTTTAAAAGATTATTCTCGTCAGAGCTTATAATATTCATGTAAAGAGATAAATACCGTAATTTCCAGAAGAAACGCGCGGCTTTACGGTTTAAACTTAATTTCCGGGGGCGGCGTTAGGTGCACTAAAAATAAATATTCTATGAGGTCATTGTACAAGTTTGGATGGCCTTTCATGGTGCACGGACTGGGCTGTTCCACACAAAAGACCACCAGTTGCGTGGGAACATATTTTCTTACATTCTTCCCTTGACTGACGTACATGCCTATTCACCTAACGAGAGTCAGAACAATAACATTCCCCTTCAATCAAATTCTCATCGTTTATATCTCTCTCTCTGCCATTCGTGAATCTCCTGACCCATCCTCTCCCACCCTGCCTTTTGCCTCTCAATGAGGAACTCTGCGTATTTACTTCACATGAATGGATTTCTTGGCATTCTGCAGTACAGATCCCATCGTTTGGGTAAGTACTGTTAGATAGTTTTAAGTAAGAGGGCGCGGAAATTTTTTGAAAAATCCCTAAATGGCAGAAGCTTGCTGGTAGTTTTAAGCTAATGTAATTTCAGTGCTAAACAATTGGAAACGAGCAGAGCTCAGAGTTGAAGTGGCAACAGATGTATTCGTGTTGGAGAACTGAAAAAAAACTTCTTAAAAATATGCCACAACAGAAATGAGCCAAAAGAAGTGGTACGTAGGTGGCCAATCTAGAGAACGACTTGCAAATGATAAAGGAGCAACAGGAAGGGGAATGGCATTTCGACTGTAAAATTCGCTTAAAGCAAAATATAGCAAAGGATGACATAAATGATTTCAAAGGAGTATAGTAGATTAGAAAAAAAATATTTTATGCGTACAGAACAACAGTCGGGCAACATTACCAGTGGACTGGAAGGATAAAAAGTCATCTTTCTAAATATATGACAGCTCTATGACAAAAAAAAATATTCGGTCACAGATAATAAATCTGGATGAACGCCGTTAGCTTTCGACTCTCTGCAAACAAACTGTGATGAACTGGTGACAAAAATGTATCTGTGTTTAAGGGACATGAAAGAATGTAATTTACATGTGTGTTAGCTTGAGCCGCAAACGGTCACAAGCTAACCCAATAATCATTTTTAAACGATAAGATGTTACGAAGAGATGTTCCTAATGACTCTAATTCTTTTTGCAAACGAGATGGCTTAGATTTGCGAACAAGTATCCTAGCGGGCTACAAAAGTTGGCACGTGTCGTATGGGATCTTTTTCCAACAAGGGTTTATTGATGATGGATTCCACTGTGGCTCATTCTTTGAGTCAGTGAAAACCATGTCACAAATGGTCTCGTCCGAAGCAATAGTTCTGGTGATTTGACAAAATCTTACACCGTTAGATTTGTAGTAATAAATCCTTCAAACCGCTGAGTCCGAAAGCGGTGGAGGTTGGATGGTGAAGGATGCATACTTAAACAAAAGCGGTAAAATGCGTAGAGCATCTTAGAATTGCAAAGTGGGCAGGAAGTGCATGGAATTGGTAGAAAACACGTAATAAGAACAGGTAAAAAGCTGCATATATCTTTAGATAAAGAACTGTACAACCAGGGATGAAGCGACGATTGGAGACTTAGAATCAGATAGTAAGAATAAGATTTGTGGCTCATATGATGTATAGCAGTGGCGTAGCTAGGGTGGGGCAGGGGGACATTGTCCCGATCGCAGCATACAAGGGGCGCCAACTGATGCTACGATTTTTTCAATTTTTCATTCTTGCACATAGAAAGGGGCGCAAATTCTTCAGTTGTCCCTGGCTCTAGGACTCGAGCGACGCCCTGATGGAGCGTTGCTGTAATTCTAGGAAAAGGGAAAAATTTCCTTTTGGTCATCCAAATTAAATTTGTTGTTGTCGCAACATTTTTATAAATATGCTGAGTATTATACATAGGGACTTCTTTATGGTAAATAGCGCCATATAGTGAAAGGTAAACATATTTTTCACAGTTTCTTACCTTTAATTTATTTTTATGTTTTTTAGGGCTTTCATTTGCATGTTTTTTTTCTTACCCTCCCGTATGTCTATGTAGGACTTAGGTTGAGTTTTGCATTATACGGCCCACATGATGCACGCCAATTTAATCTATTGCGGGCTTTCGTTTTTTGTTTTATTTTTTTTTTTCTCGCCATTTTTCTCGAGTGCAGCGTTTGCGCTGATGCGGCCTTTCTTCCGGAAATTACGGTAATACTGTATAAAACACTGAAAATGACAGTGTTAAAAATGCATAAACATCGGTAAAAATATATTTAAGGGTGCTCCTTGGCAAAAATTGGCGATTGGCCAGAAAGGCACAATTTCAAGATGGCTGCTATACAAAAACAAAATAACAAGTCAAAAAATTGCACAGATGCGGTGCCCATGTACACATCAATCTATTTTCACTTAAAAAAAAAAAAAAAATCAAAGAATTGCACAAACTCGGTATTGCACACTTACTTGACTTTGTCCATGTATACACACATCTTATTTTCACTTAAACATCAAGGGAGCACCCAGTTCTACACTACAGCCAAACAAAAAATATATAATCTCAATATGTATTTTAAATCAAACAATGAAAAGGAAATACATCTTATCATATCTACGCATTACACAAAAGAAATATCCATTTACCTTATTTAGAAATTTCTATGTATCCAGTCTGTGGCACATAAAATCCCTTAACAGTATCTAAAAACTTCCCTCAAACCATGTGTCCCTTTCTAATGGAATGCCGTATATGGTGAGCATTTGAACATTTCTTGCAACAAACCCATTCAAAGCCAACTGAATGATCTTTGTGTTTGATCATACATATTTCTTCGTACAAACAGGTCACTTATAATTCCATTGAATTACATCCAACAAAGTTTCTTTTCCTCAGCCACTTCAGAAAAAAACACCTTCTGCTCTGTTTCATTCTATACCACCAAGCACCCACTTTACCACTGGTGGCCGTTTTACGATGCGAAGCACACATCACGCGACGTACTTAGTAACTGACATCCAACAAATATTTTCCCATCAATCAAATTTACCACAATCACGGAACCTATCTCATCATAACAGGGTTTCTATAATATTCAACTACTCAGGTTACCATAAATGAAACAACAACGTGGCAATAAGTGAAACAGCAACTTTAGCAATAATCCAAGGGGCAGCCTAAAATATAGGCTAACCTACACATCAAACCAGAGGATTGCGGACTTGTTTGGAACATTTGGGAAAACCAGTAATAGTAATTTTCTGGGTAGCATTTGTGGGTCAGATTAATATTATGAGTTAAAAAATAAGTTTATATGACATAAAATTGAATAATACTTAATAATACATATTGCTATTTTGGAAGGAAACCAGCATAACTCAAAATTATAGTTGTTCTCTTATGTCATAATCGAAATGAAATATGGTATACTTTTATGTCGAAGGGCGTCACAAAAAGTAATTCGCATATCTGGCTGCTAGAGGAGAGTTATAGTTGGTTAAATCTTTGCTTAAATAATCTTTATTTAAACCCTTTGTAGCACGGTGTGCCCGGTGTCGGTACACCTAAAAATTTCCTTCTGTACGCACAGAAAAATTGGATGAAAAAGGATTTAAAGGTTACTCTGAACCTTCTTTATTTATAGTAGATGGTAGCTTAACTCAAACCAGTCCATATATTTTAGTCATGTTTAGTTTTTCAAGACCCTCATTTATCAAAGGAATCTTCCATATTTTTTTTAGGGTATAAAAGAAATTGTTTGAAAAGAAATTTCTGTGTTATTTTTTTGGTTGTATGATAATCTTCTTATTCTATATTAGTCTTAAATTTTGATCTTGAAATCTTACCTAAAGTCGAACGGCGAACCGCGGGCACACCAAGACCTAGAACAATGAGAAACCGGTTTTTTCTTTTGTTTCTCCGCGTTCATTGGTTCAGTTCATTGACAACAGAGTAGGAAGGGGGGTCCACATTTGTGTTTCTTTCCTGTTTTTCTCTTTCCTCACTCTTTTTTTTTTTTTGAGGGAAGTGTGGTTATTAATATGAATAAGTTCTGTTTTTGTAATTCAGTGTTTTTTTTCTGTTTTATATTAGTTGATAAAAAACTATGCAGGATGTTGTCTCTTTTACCTTTCGCTGTGCAAATAAAAAAGAGTTTGGAATAATAAGTTGTATCGTGAAATTAATTTTTTTTAATGCGATAATTTGTTCGAAAGATTACAGAAACAATGATTGGTATTTAAACTGATATTTCTTAATTTGAATTCGTCACTTTTAGAATTTTCTTCTGAACATTAAGATATCTGGTCTAGATGTTATGAACATTTATAAAAAAGTGAAAAGATTTTCATAAGAATATCTTTGTATGAAACATTTAAACAAGATGAAAACAGATTTACCCTAATGCAGTTTTTTCACTTTATTGATGTATATTTCATTGATACTATTAATTATTAAAGCATTGCCTTAGTGAATATTTTGCTGCCTTGACATTTCTGGTCCTTTAAATCCCCGGGCCGTCCCGGGGAAATTCAAGGATGTCAGTTTTGATGATGGGAATGAAACTTAAAATAGTCTTTGAGAATAATTAAAAATTGCTAAGTGAAAATATATTCAAAAGTTTAAAAAATAAAAATTATATTCTTTTAGCATTTCTTTTGTGTTTTTAAATTATAATGTGTACAATAATTATAAAAAAGTTGTCT